TATTTAAATGTTGATTTTAGACAATTCTTTTTTAACAATTTGTAAAGTTATTAAATAAATAATTTTAAAATATTACATAATTTAAATATTTTATAAAATAAATTAAAATTAAAATAATTTCTTCAATAGTTATAGATTTATTCAGACCTTTTCTCTTTGTGTGAGTTTTGATTGTTTATGTCTTTGATCTATTTAATCTAGGTTACTCAATTGTGGGCACACAGTATTCCTTTATTATTGTTTTAATGTTCGTAGGAACAGTAATGATCCTCCTTTCATTTATAATATTAATTTATGTCTTTTATCTTTTATTCTTCAGTAGTCTGTCTAGAAGTTTATCAATTTTATTGATTTTTTTTTAAAAAAAACAGCTTTTAGGGTTTTTAAATTTTATCTGTTGTTTTGTTTTCAATTTAATTGATTTCTGCTCTGATTTTTATTTCTTTTGTTCTGCTTGCCTTAGGCTTGCATTGTTCTTTCTCTATTTTCCAAAGTTAGAAGACTGATATTATTGATTTTAGACCATTCTTTTTATATTAATATACATACCTAATGTTATAAATTTCTCTCTAAGCAATATTTTTGCATTGAAGAATCTGCTTTTTTGACAATCTTCGTTTCATTGCTAGATTTAGACCATTATCATTTAAAGCTATTATTGATTTAGTTGAATTATCATCTACAATGTTTATCAATTTTCTGATTATTGTGCTTCTATCTTTATTAAATTTTACAACTCTTTTTCTGCCTGCTCTGGCTTTAATTGAACACTTTATATAATCCCATTTTATGTCTTCACAGCATATCAGTTACATTTCTTTTGTACATTTTTTTATTGGTTGTCTTAGAGTCTCCAATATACATTTTTAACAATCTAAGTCTACCTTCAAATAACACTATACCACCATACAGGTATTTCAGGTACCTTTTAACAAAATATTCCTAATTCCTCCCTTCTGTCCTTTAGAATATTGTTGTCATTCATTTCACTCATCTATTTGGTATACTTACCCAATATATTGTTACTGTTAATATTTTAAACAGTTATCTTTTAGATCAATTGAAAGAGAAAAATTATTTTTACTCTTCATTTATTCTTTCTCTGACATTCTTCATGTTTTAATATAGATTGGATTTTCTGATTTACATAATTATTCTACTCCTAACATTTCTTATAGGGCAGATCTGCCGGCAATAAATTCCCTCACTTTTAAAAGATAATCTCACTGGACATAGATTTCTAGGTTGGTGAGGGGTTTTCCCCTCTCAATACTTTAAGAATTTCACTTCTTACTGACACGGTTTCTAATAAGAAGACCACTGTAATTATTTCCATTTTTGTCTATAGGTAAAGTATTTTCTTTCTGTTTTTTAATTCAAGATTTTTATTTTTTATTTTTGCCCTTGGTTTTCATCCATCTGAATATGATATATTTCAAAAATATTTATCCTGCTAGATTCTCTCTCAACTTCTGGATCTGTGGTTTGGCATCTGTCATTAATTTTGGAAAATTCTTGACCATTACTACTTCAAATATGTTGTCTGCTCCATTTCTTAATTTTCTTCTTGTATTCCAATTACACATGTGTCACACCTTTTGAAATTGTCCCAAAACTTTTAGAAATTTTGTTCTGTATTTTTCAGCCTCTTTTTCTCCTTTCTCTCTTTATATTTCACTTTATGGGGCTTCCCTTGACTTATCTTCATGGTCACTGGTTCTTTCCACAATCTACAGGTGAGCCTGTCTACTAATGGGCTCAATCCTGCCCACTGAATGAGCCCATAAGGCATTCTTAATTTTTGTTCGTGTTTTTTATTTCCAGCATTTCCTTTCAATTATTTCTTAAGAGTTTCCATCACTCTGCTTACATTTTCTTGCCTTTCATTTTCTCATGCTATTTTTTTCACTAACATAACATACTAATCATAGCTATTTTAAATTTCTCTTTCTGATAATTCCAACTTCTCTTTTACATTTGAATCTGATTGTAATGCTTGCTTTGTCTCTAAAGATTGTGAGGATTTTGTAGTGTGTGTGTTTTTGTTGCTATTAATCCTCACCTGAAGATATTTTTCCATTGATTTTCAGAGAAAGTAGAAGGGAGGGGGAGAGACAAACAGAGAGAAACTTTGTTATGAGAGACTAAGAGCTAAGACCCCATCCCCGCAGGCCACCCAAGGCACCCCATCCATGCACGAATTAGTGCACTGGGCCTCTAGTATTCTATAATCTTATAATTAAATATCAGTCTTCTAGTGCGTCTGTGTTGCTGGGCTGTAACCTTCACAAATGTGTCCTAGCTCTTCTCCCCCACTTTGGTGAGATAGGAAGACTAAGAGACAAATGTCCATAAGACTCCAGGAAAGATTTAGGCCTTTGTTAAGGAGAACACTCTGGACATATTTTGCAATGATTATCTTCCCCTTCCTTGCCAGAACCAAGTTCTTTCTTGGCTCTTCACTGTGAGAATGTGGGGCTCCTGAAAGTAAAACCCACAAAAGTCTTGGGGTTACACTCAGCTTCCAACAATTTGTCAAATTTACCACTTAAGTGTTCCTACCAGTGTATGGTTCTAGCAGGTAACCAGATCTCGACTGTGACTCTTAGGATTTCCCTGCCTTTCCAGACTTCAAGGTGGCAGTGTGCCCTACTACCTAAGTTCTTTGATGGGTCTTAGAAAAGTCATTGATTTTCCGTTTATTAGGCTTTTCTGTGTTTTAAAGAACAGGAATAGCAACTTCCAAATTCTTTACATGTTGAAGCTAAAACCAGAAGTCCTTAAATATTAAGAGAAACCTCTATTATTTAGAAGTCAGATATGAATGGAGATACAAGCTATATATGGTATTTAAGGTATTTTACACATATGTCAAGAAACTATTACAGTCAAGTAGAATTGGAAAGATTCAGAGAGATTCACTTTACCTAGAAATGATATGGGACAGTTAGAATTTGGTACAAACCCTGAAGGAGAATAAAGAAGAGAGGAATAGAAGAATTACACCATTAGAAGAAACACAACAAACATAGAAAATATAAGACACATCTAAAGAATAACAAGTGGATCCATCAAAGAAATATCTGTGAGGGGCAGGGAGCATAGGGGTTGCGATATGGTGATATTTGGTGTGAGTGTGTCAATGTGGGTTTTGGAATATCCTATATAATAAAAGCCTAATATGCAAATTGTCCCCTGAACTGGGAGTTTGACCAGGGGGTAAGGCCAGCCGGCCAACTGTCCATGGCCCCTCGCCCTGGCTGGTCCACCCTGATCAGTGGCAGCAGGCAGCCAGGGGAAGGGAGGCCCTGGCTGGCAGCCAGTAGCCACATGGGATACTTTCTATACATAAATTTCATGCACTGGGGCCCTAGTGTGACTATAAAAATCTCTTGGGAAATATGAGGTCTGTCCCCTGAGATCAGTGTTTAAGATGCTAAATTTGGTGTCTCGTTAGATGTGGGGAGGAAAGACAATGGAGAGTTAGAGACTACATAAGAGATTAACACCTGCAGGCACCACTGGCTATTTCTGCAAACCCAAGAATGAGACTAAGCTTTCATTACACAAAATACTATAGAAAGTACATTAGTATTATGCTACTGTCAAAAACAATGGACTTTCCCAAGGGACTAAGTGGCACACACTTCTGTTTTACTTCTCATTTTAATATTGCTTCCTTGGCCCCTCTGCTAAAACAAAATTACCTTAGGGAAATAAATGCTAGATTTAGAATATCCAACACTATAGAACACCATCGACTCTCCTCAGAGAGTATGTAAATCCAACCTTACCCAAGCTCACTTCTGCTCAGCTTGGGGAAAAAGACCTCAAGAGAAAGTATCTCACAATTAGAATAGCTGTCCACATAAATGTTCTCTCATCAGTGCCCACAATTTCAACGAAATGACTAACTTGGAAGATGAAAGGCTGGAAGTCAAAAATAACACATTAAATAGACTAGTATTCAACTGTAATTAGTTGAAATTAAAATTAATAATAAATTTATAGTATTATATCAAAACGTGTTTTTTTTCTTTTCCTAATTTGAAATCTCTAGCACAATACTTTTTTTTTTTTTTTTTTTTGGTGGTCTAAAGCAACTCAAAGCTTTTCTAAGGCCCATAATTACAAGTCTCCACGGTACAGTTTCATTAAAAACTTTCATTAAACAACAGCTGCCCTTGTATATGGTCTTCTAATCAATTTGGTCAAACAGAATGACTTCTAATCAGCTGTTGATAAAAATAGAAGATGAAATTTTAATTCTAATAGATTAACCACAAACTCAAGACAGTCTTCAAAATCCATCTAGCTCTATTCTCCAGTGGATTTAATGACTATTCAGCAACTCATTACTAAATAGAACAAGATGAACATTTTCCAGTTCATTAAAGAAATGTACTATGTATTTTTGCATTGTCCTCATGATTCGTTACAGGGAGTCTTAATTACAAGATAATGGATAATGGTTATTAAATGCAGACTGCAGTAATGAAGCTCTATTCATTTGCGAGCCTCAGAGACTTGCAAAGGGAAGAAAATAAAATTACTAGCTTCAAAAGATTAACGGATCAAATTATTATTCAATTTTTAAAATCTCATTCAGACTTCACAGAAACAAGAAGAGATTAAAAACTAGTATTAAGACCAAAGTAATACGTTTAAAAAAAATAATATCTTAAGGCTATTACCGCATAATAAGCTTCAGATGTGATTATTAGAAAAACATATAGCTAACAATGGAAAAACATACATTTTTATTTCCTGAACAACTCTTATTTATGAGATAGGGCGCTACTAGTAGGGTCTTAAAGAGAGTCTTGGTGAACATGGGAGATAGATGCTACGAAGCTACAAAAGAACACCACCATGGAAGGTATTATTAACATTTTATACCTCACTAATGAAAATAGGATTAAAAGACCACTAATGAAAATAGGATTAAAAACTGCTGATTTATATGCTGGGGTTGTGGCTGGAAGAGAGTAGTAGGTGGCGGGGATTCCAGGTAGAGCAGCGCTTTTCCCCCTTCCTCCCTCGGCCTCTCTGCCTCCAGCTTTGAACTTGGCTGTTGCGCCCAGAGGCTCCTGCTGAGCTGGGCGAGTTGGAGTTGGTGGAGGTGGTGGAGGCCCGAGGTGATGTCTGGGAGCCCTCCCTTCACAGCCCGAGCCGAGAGTCCCTGCAGGAGGCATCACCCAGGCTGGCAGATCATGGTGACAGTAGCGAGGGGTGGCTGGGAAGTGGAACGGAGCCAGCAGCTGAAGAGGGGCCCTAGCAGCCCCCAAAGGCCCTATCAGGACATGGAGTATGAAAGTTGGGGTGGTCGTGGGGACGGGACCCGCCGCTACGGAGCCGCCGACCGTTCCCAGGACGACAGCGAGGAGAACCGCAGCCGGGACCAGGACTACCGAGACTTGGACTACCGCTGCCCGTACCCCCGCGAGTACGGGAGCCAGGAGGGCAAGCACGACTACGACTGCCAGTATTACTACGACAACTTCGTCGAGTTTAGTCACTTGCAGGACGCTACGCGATGGATGGAAGCTAATCAGCACTCACTGAGCATCCCAGGCCAGAAGGTGCCCATGCACTACAGCGACCCCAAGCCCAAGATCAACGAGGACTGGCCGTGTAGCAAGTGTGGCGTCCAGAACTTCAAACGCCGGGAGAAGTGCTTCAGATGTGGTGTGCCCAAGTCAGAGGCAGAGCAGAAGATGCCCCTGGGTGCCAGGCTGGATCAGCAGACGCTGCCGCTGGGTGGACGGGAGCTGAGCCAAGGCCTGCTCCCCTTGCCGCAGCCCTACCAGGCCCTGTCCCCCCAGTCCCTGTCCCAGAGCTCTGAGAACGCCAACGACACCATCATTCTGCGCAACCTGAACCCACACAGCACCAAGGACTCCATCCTTGGGGCCCTGGCACCCTATGCAGTGCTCTCCTCCTCCAACGTCTGCGTCATCAAGGACAAGCAGACACAGCTGAACCGCGGCTTCGCCTTCATCCAGCTCTCCACCATCGAGGCAGCTCAGCTGCTACAGATCCTGCAGGCCCTGCACCCACCGCTCACCATCGACGGCAAGACCATCCACGCTGAGTTTGCAAAGGGTTCTAAGAGGGGCACGGCCTCCAACGAAGGCAGCCGAATCAAGGCTGCCTCTGTGGCCAGCACTGCCATTGCTGCGGCCCAGTGGGCCGTCTCCCAGGCCTCCCAGGGTGGGGAGGGTGCCTGGGCCACCCCCGAAGAGTCATCGGTCGACTACAGCTACTATCAACAGGACGAGGGCTATGGCGGAAGCCAGGGCACAGAGTCCTCCCTCTATGCCCATGGCTACCTCAAGGGTCCTGGCATGACTGGAAGCAAAGGGGACGCAGCTGGAGCGGGTGCCGAGGCCTCCCTGGAGCCCGGAGCAGACTCTGTGTGGCTGCAGGCTTTCGCGCCCACCCCAGCTGGTGACACCCCTACCATGTACCAGCCGTCGGCACCCGAGGCCAGCGGTAGCCAGAGCGCTGCTGCCAACAGCCAGTCATACACCGTCACATCACCTGCTGTGCTCAGTTCTGAACTCCAGAACCCCATCCCCCACAGCTCTGCCCTGCCGCCAGCCACCAGCCCCACTGCCCAGGAGTCCTACAGCCAGTACCCTGCTCCCAACGTCTCCACCTGCCAGTACGACGAGACATCCCGCTACTACTATGATCCTCAGAACGGCCTCTACTACGATCCCAATTCCCGGTATTACTACAATGCTCAGAGCCAGCAGTACCTGTCCTGGGATGGCGAGAGGCGGACCTACGTCCCCGCCCTGGAGCAGTCAGCCGACGACAAGCATAAGGAGGTGGGGGCGCCCTCCAAGGAGGGCAAAGAGAAGAAGGAGAAGGACAAGACCAAGACGGCCCAGCAGGTCGCCAAGGACATGGAGCGCTGGGCCCACAGTCTCAACAAGCAGAAAGAGAACTTCAAAAACAGCATCCAGCCTATCAGCTCCCTGCGGGACGACGAGAGGCGGGGGTCAGCCACCGCGGATGCCGGCTATGCCATCCTGGAGAAGGGAGCACTCGCCCAGAGGCAGCACACCAGCGTGGCCCTCCCGAAACTGGCCAGCGACAACGACGACAAAGACCGCCCAAGCCCACCCCGCGGCTTGGTGGCAGCCTACTGTGGGGAGAGTGACAGCGAGGAGCAGCAGGAGCAGCAGGAGCAAGAAGAGAAGCTCACGGACTGGCAGAAGCTGGCCTGCCTGCTCTGCCGGCGCCAGTTCCCCAGCAAGGAGGCGCTCATCCGACACCAGCAGCTCTCCGGGCTCCACAAGCAAAACCTTGAGATCCGCCAGCGAGTGCTCCTTGAGAAGAATGACATGAAGCAAACGAAGTACCGGGACCAGGCAGCAGAGCGCAGAGAGAAGTATGGCATCCCTGAGGCACCAGAGCCCAAGAGGAGGAAGTACGGGGGCGCGCCTGCCGTCTCTGTAGACTTTGAGCAGCCCACGCAGCACGGTCTGGGCAGTGACAACATCGGCAGTCGCATGCTCCGAGCCATGGGCTGGAAAGAGGGCAGTGGCCTGGGTAGCAAGCAACAGGGTATTGTGACACCCATTGAGGTCCAGACACAGGTGCTGGGCTCCGGTTTGGGTGCCCAAGGCAGCTCCTACAGGATCACCTCCAGGAAGTCCTACAAGAAAACACTGCACAAGACAACGGTGACCCGTGTTCACGAGGACCAGTGAGGACCAGTGAGCGCTCCTTTTCCATCTGCTCCTGCCAGCCTGGGACAAGAAGAATGAACTGTCTGCTGTTCTGAGCAGGGCCCTGCGCCTGTCCACCAGCCCACTCCCCAGACAGACAGGCCGTGGCCACGTCCAGACTTTGAGTTGGTGACTTGTTGGAAAACTGGACTAGGATCAAGTTCTTTTTATAATAAAAGCTGAAAAGTCAAAAAAAATTGTTCAAAAAAAAAAAATCAACTGCTGTATTTATTAGAAAGCTTGTCATTAAGTGGAATTCATGCCAACCCAATAAGAGCTTCTGGGCACATTACTCATTAGCACTATGTTTTCTATCATTCTCTGAAATAAATAAATAAATAAAAATCCTGATTAAAGTTAGCAAGAGAGTTTTGTGTGGTAATTCTGATACTAATTTATACTTGCACTCTGCAAAGGGACACCTTTTTTAATTCTCACCCGAGGATCAGTTTTTGTTGAACCCGCAATCCAAGTATGTAACCTGAATGGGAATTGAACTGGCAATCTTTTGGGGCACAGGGCAATGCATGACCAACTGAGCCACTCTGGCTGGGCAAGGACACTTTAAAAATATATATGTACACACACACACACACACTGAGTGACCAAGTTATTATGACCTCTGAACGCACAATAATCTGGCCACTCAGTGTATATCCTATATAATAAAAGGCTAATATGCAAATTGTCCCCTCGACCAAGAATTTGACCAGCAGGCAGGCCAGCCAACCACCCATGTCCCCTCCCCTTGGCCAGGCTGGCCGGACCCCACCCATGATTAATTCATGCACCAGACCTCTAATACACACACACACACACACACACACACACACACACACACACAGTGGCCAGATTATTATGCTTTCAGAGATCATAATAATAATCTGGTGGAAACCAGTTTGGCTCAGTGGATAGAGTGTCAGCCTGCAGACTGGAACGTCCCGGGTTCGATTCCCATCAAGGGCACATACCTTGGTTGCAGGTACATCCCCAGTAGGGGATGTGCAAGAGGCAGCTGATCAATGTCTCTCTCTCTCATCAATGTTTCTAACTCTCTATCTCTCTCTCTTCCTCTCTGTAAAAAAATCAAAAAAAAATATATTAAAAAATATCTTTAAAACATATTCTTTGATATTGTATTCTTTCACTCAACAAAGGCCTGAAAATAATTTAGGGAGAGATAAGGACCCAGTGTTATTGAAGAACTAGCCAAAGATGAAAGCAGAGCCCCCTGAGGAGTATCAATATGGTGCTGATACTTGGTCTAGAGACCAATTATACCACAAAGACATCCTTACATGACCCAGAGATAATAGCTAACCTTGTAAAAAAAGAGGGGAACATTTTCTAAAATAGAGAGGAAAAAACATAAGAAGGAAAGAAAAAGAAAAACACCTGCTCTCTCAGTTCTTTCCTTCATCCTGAATAGTGAGCTCTGGAAATACTTCTCAGCTGGCCCTGTCTATCACATGAGAAAGGAAACAGTGCAGCATAATTAAGCAGTAAGGCATGTTCAAGCTCAATGGCAATCAGAAAGCAATCACACTCTCAGAGGCAGAAAATATTGCAAATACCCCTAGGGGAAGATTAGCTCATGATAACCACATTCCCTGTAGTTGCCTTTCGCCTCAATAAAAATAAAAATGTGGCCAGTTAAAATAATGCAAAACAGTAGGATTCAAATGGAATACAAGGTAGGGACTCTGACTATATAATACTTGGTAATTGACAGTAATGTCCTGGGAGAATATATTCAACAATTACGTAAACCATACAAAGATATGTGGTGGAATCTCTTGCCACAAACAAGAGTCCGTGAGTTATGTCTAATGCTACAAGTTCCCTTTGACTTCTAAAATATAGCTTATTTAAAATGAGTGTCAGAACTGTAATAATACCAGAGGTGAGTTACCCATCAATACAAATATCTGTTTTAGAATGGATTTAAATTTTTCAAACAACTCTAAAATGTTTGTTTGTTACAAATTTGGAAAAACAAGAGTTATTTAACTCAAATGTTTACAAGGCCATACTTGTCAGCATTTTGGACCAAGAGTCAAACTGGGAAATAACAAAATGTCTCCTAAACAAAGCTCTATATAACCTCTAATTTTTAATATTGCATTGGTGCTCCTGAGGGTATTTACAAATATCTATAAATAGAGTTTACTGTTCAGAAATGGTTTCCCAAAATATCATGCTACACTTCTTGGTTCTCACCTCTCTCCCCACCCTCCTCCTTTTGAGTAAGATTATCAAGGAAGAAGAGCTAAGGGTGAGTCCTAGAAGATCTGCAATTAAAATAAGGGCTCTGAAATTACAAAGTGGGGATAGATGCACAATATTGTGAATATACTAAAAAACCCTGAACTGTATACTTTCAAGAGTGAGTTTTATTTCATGGCAATTATATCTCAATTCTATATAATAAAAGCCTAATATGCTAAGTGTCCAGTTGTCTGTTCAACCAATCAAAGCATAATATGCTAATGATATGCTAAGGCTATTCAACCACTCACTATGATGTGCACTGACCACCAGGGGGCAGACAGTCGACCGGTTGACCAGCTGCTATGACATGCACTAGCTTGTGGCTGGGGTCTGGCCACACCCTGAAGCCCTCCCATGGTCCCTCCCCGGCTGGCCAACCTCCTGCATCCCTCCCTGGCCCTGATTGTGCACCAGTGAGGTTCGTTGGCCTGGCCTGCACCCTCTCGCAATCTGGGACCCCTCGGGGGATGTTGGAGAGTAGGTTTTAGCCTGAAACCGCAGATCAGGCCAAGAGACCTCCCTGGTGCATGAATTTATATACTGGGACTCTAGTTTAAAATAAAAAAGGGAGTGTGTTCATGAGGGAGAAAAAGGATAACAATTAAGTAAAGCTACATTGTGGAAAACAGTATGGTGTTTCCTCAAAAATTTAAAAATGGAACTGCCATTTGACCCAAGTAATTCCACTTCTAGGAATATATCCCAAGAAAACAGAAACACCAATCAGAAAGGATATATGCACCGCTATGTTCATAGAAGCACAATTTACAATAGCTAAGATTTGGAAACAGCCTAGGTGCCTATCAGCAGATGACTGGATCAGAAAACTATGGTACATGTACACAATGGAATACTACACTGTTATAAAAATGAAGGAATCCTTACCATTTGCAGCAACATGGATGGAACTGGAGAGCCTTATGCTAAGTAAAATAAGCCAGGCAGTAAAAGAAAAATACCACATGATCTCACTCATTTATGGATAATAAAGAACATTATAACCTGATGAATAAAAAGATAGATGCAGCCAAAACCGGTTTGGCTCAGTGGATAGGGTGTCGGCCTGTGGACTTAAGGATCCTGAGTTCGATTCCGGTCAAGGGCATGTACCTTGGTTGTAGGCATATCCCCAGTAGGGGGTGTACAAGGGGCGGATGATTGATGTTTCTCTCTCATCGATGTTTCTGACTTTCTATCCCTCTCCCTTCCTCTCTGTAAAAAATCAATAAAATATATATATTTTTTAAAAAGATAGATACAGAGGCAGAGAAGCATCAAACAGACTGTTAAATTACAGCGGGAAGGCTGGGGAGTATTGGGGGGTGGAGAAAGAGATCAACCAAAGGACTTGTATACATGCATATAAGCATAACCAATAGACACAAGACACTGGGGGTTGTGGGTGGGGTGAGGGCATGTGCCAGGGAAAGGTCAATAGGAGGAAAATGGAGACTAATATACTACTATTTGTAATACTTTAAACTAGGGGTGTCGAACTCAATCAGAGAAGGGGCCAAAATCTAAAATCCAGCCTAAATCGCGGGCCGAATGGTTTGTTGAACAGTCATAAACTGTCATTGTGATGGAAACGCAGCGGAGTGCAGTGATGACAGCGCGGTCTGGCGGGACGGATTTGGCCCGCGGGCCTTGTGTTTGACACATGTGCTTTAAACCATAAAATAAAATTTTAAAAAAGTAAAGCTAACTCTGAGTAAAATTATCAATTCACTAACAAATCAAGTATATATAATCATCTGGACTTTCACCTCTTTTTCTGATCTCATGTCTAAAGGCTATTCCTAATTTTGATTTGCACTTCCCTAATAGTTAATATATCTGCTGGCCACTTGTATGTCTTCTTGGAGGGGTGTCTGTTTAGGTCTTCTGGCCATTTTTTAATTGGGTTGTTTGTCTAGAGTTGAGTTGTATGAGTTCTTTATATATTTTGGATAGTAACCCCTTGTCAGAGCTGTTGTTTGCAAATACCATCTCCCATTTGGTTGGTTGCCTTTTTGTTTTGTTGGCAGTTTCTTTTGCTGTGCAAAATCTTTTTAGTTTGATAGAGTTCCATTCATTTATTTTTGCCTTTACTTCCCTTACCATTGGGATCAAATTCATAAAATCCTCTCTAAGACCAAGGTCCATAAGTTTAGTACCTATGTTTTCTTCTATGTAATTTATTGTTTCAGATCTTATATTTAGGTCTTTGATCTATTTTGAATTAATTTTTGTACATGGGGAGAAGATTCTGTCTTTAATTCATGGCAAGATCTAGCACCGTGTCTTAGGAAACAGAAAAGGCAATAAAGCTGGAGCCATAAGACCTGGGTTCAAATAATGACCATATGTGATCTCTAATTGTCATTAATTATTATAACATAACATTCAGTCATCATTGGTATAAACAGACATGGTTATTTATTTTTATTTATTTTTAATTGAGTATTTTATTTTATTTTTTTAAATATATTTTATTGATTTTGTACAGAGAGGAAGGGAGAGAGTTAGAAACATTGATGAGAGAGAGTCATCGACCAGCCGTCTCTTGCACACCCCCCACTGGAGATATGCCCGCAACCAAGGTACATGCCCTTGACGGGAATCAAACCCGGGACCCTCCAGTCCCTAAGTTGACGCTCTATCCATTGAGCCAAACCGGTTTCGGCATGGTTATTTATTGATAGCTAGTAGCTCTGTGCACGAATCCGTGCGCCAATAGGTTGCTGCTGCCCGCCTGTAGCTCTCTACCCGATGCCCACACTCCTGTAGCTCTGTGCCTCCCTTTCATAGCTTGTGGCCTGCCCCCCTCCTGTAGTTCTCTGCCTCCCACTTGCTGCCCTGTCCCCTCCTGTAGCTCTCCACCCGCTGCCCCACTCTCCTGCAGATCTGTGGTTCAGTCGTTACACAGTCGGTCATTACACCTCAT